GATACATCTTCTGTGACAGGGTTCTAGGCACCACAACCTATAACCATTGACTCCCTCGGGATATCCAAGTAGCATGCATCTCAAAGCTCTAGGTTCGACCTTCTCTTGCCTAATATGAGCATAGGCTAAACATCCAAATACTCTCAATTTGTCGAGATCTGGTGGTTGACCCGACCAAACTTCTTCAGGTGTCTTCATTCCCAAGGCAGTTGGGGGACATCTATTTATCAGATAAGCTGCTGTCAGAACAACCTTCGCCCAAAACACCTTCTTCAATCCAACACTAACCAACATGCATCTAACCCTTTCAAGGATTGTTTGATTGAATCTCTCAGCTAAGCCATTTTGTTGAGGAGTACCTGCTACAGTCTTATGCCTTGCAATCCCAGACTCGACACAATAAATGTTGAAAGCTTCATTGCAGAACTCATGGCCATTGTCGGTTCTTAACCGCTTAACCTTTATGCCAATTTGAGTTTCGACCATAACCTTCCAATTTTTGAAATTCTCAAAAGTTTCATCCTTAGTCTTCTGAATGAATATCCATAATTTTATGGAATAGTCATTAACTCTGGATAGAAAATACCTTGCACCTGAATGTAAAGGATTCCGTGCAGGCCCCCAAAGACCAACATGAATGTAATCAAGGGATCTATGTGTTCTTTGTTTACCTTTGTTAAACTTCACCCTACAGAATTTGTCAAATACACAAGGTTCACAAAAATCCAACTTCTCGACTTTGTCACCACCTAGCAGGTTCTATTTCCCTAGTTCGACCAGGCTTCTTTCACTGAGATGGCCTAATCTCATGTGCCATAATTCTATCTTCGACACCGGTTTCGTGGATGCAAAATCTGCTGAACCACTTACAACCTCAGCCTCAAGGGTATACAAGCCTTGTTTCTTCACGCCTCTCAAGACTTCCTTCGACCCCTTCATGACTTTCAGGGTACCTTGATATCCTTTGAAGACATATCATTTCTTGTCGAGTTCACCAAGAGAAATCAAATTCCTCTTAAGGTCAGGTACATACCTAACACTAGTCAATAGCCTTATTGACTCATCATGGAGCTTGAATCTCACAAATCCAATACCTGCAATCTTGCAAGCTTTATTATTTCCCAACATCACTGATCCACCATCTTGATCACATAATTCTTCAAACACATTCTTCTTTGGAGTCATATGCCAAGTACATCCTGAATCGATAATCCACTCCTTGCAAAAGTTGTTACTCGACACCACAAGGATATCAGATGATTCATAATCATCTTGTACAATAGTTGTATTACCATTATCCTTGCCTCCATGATTATTCAGGCACTCAAGACACATCTTTCTTGTGTGACCATCCTTCTTACAATGATAACACTTAATACTGGAAATATCACCACCATAAGACTTCTGCTGAGTTTTACCTTTCTTCTTCTCATACCTACCATCTCTCTTCAAGGATTTCCCCTTCACGGACAACCCTTCGCCAACCGATGATGATGGTTTCTGCTCCTTTATTTCATTCAAATCCTTCGAATACAAGTTTGCTTGAACTTCTTCAAAGGTCATGGACTATCTTCCATACAAGAGGGTTTCTTTTAAGTGAGCATGTGACTTAGGTAAAGAACACAATAATAACAACGCTTGATCTTCGTAACTGATGGTAACATCAATATTTTCAAGATCAAGAATCAGCTTGCTGAACGTATCCAGTTGCTCCATCAACGCTTTATCTTCATTCATCTTTAATGAATACAAAGCTTGCTTCAAGTACAAATGATTCACCAAGGATTTTGTCATATACAATTCTTCGAGTTTCATCCAAACACCAATTGTCGTTGTCTCTTTCGAAATCTTCCTGAGAACCTTATTACCAAGACTCAAAACAATTGCATTGTGGGTTTTCTCGATCATCGTTGTCTTATCCTTCTCCATCAATGCAGCATCCATGGCATCTCCTCCCTTTAACGCTTTTAGAAAACTCCATTGAACAAGAAGGGCTCGCATCTTCAAGCACCATAAACCGAAATCATTAACTCCGGTAAACTTCTCAATTTCAAACTTTATTGACGGCGTCTTCTCCATGCTCAACACACCAGTTTGTTGTGATCACAAACGATACCTTTCAACACTTTCTTGAGTGAGAAATGAAGTTTATTATTGAACAATGAGACAATTAGGTTTTTAAAGAGAGAAAGAAGAAAGATGGAAGAAGGATTTGGGCAAACTGTTTTCTATTCACTTACTCAATGTTACAAATGATTACAAGTGAATAATATAATTGGTCTCACTCAACAACCTGAGCGATCTAGCCTATTTATAGACTACAATGTAACTTAAATAACAAGCTAACCTAAACAATTGGATCCTTAACACAAGGCTCAATTCGACATAATAATTCGACACTACATACTAGAATTGACTTCGACTACAGTATGTAACACTTCAACATCAACATGTGAACAATCTTTGACTTCATGATTGTCTCTTGTCGAAACATGAAAGCTATCCTAGTCGACACATCCTAGTTGACAACACTAGAGTTTGATCCAATGATCTCAAACAAAATTTACGACTTGACCATCAAGCATGGAAAAAATAAGCAACATTTGCATCTGACTCGTAATACTTGTACTCTCTCCCCTTGCAAACACTGTAAAATGCTAAAACTTTTTTAATACATAAGAATAAGGGTTTTGAATATATGTCGTCATTATCATACCGTAATTTTACCCCTAAGATTCTACCTATCATCTCATTTGCATCACATCAAAATCATAAGCATGGTATTCCTCATAATCCCCTCTCTTTTGGTTTGCCTTTGGAGAGAGATCACCAAGTACCTTGTGTTTTCTTTGCTTGCTTACATTCTAACGTTTCTAACCTTATCCAAAATATAAAAAAAAGTGTTGTTTTCTCTTTCTTATTGTTCAAGGTAGGGACTTGCAATCAATGGATCAAGCTTGGTTTCTAAATTAGGATTTTGATTTCCAAAGACAATGTCTTGGTCAACAAATAATTCAGAAGAGCTCTCATCTCAAAGCATGACCTAGGGGTGTTCATTGGTTCGAGCAAATCCAAACCAAACCAGAATCCAAACACAACCAATGTGTTCGGGTTGAGCATTTTTCTAGTTCGGACAAAAACCGAACCAAACCAATTAAAACCGATGTTAATTGGTTTGGACAACAAATTTTTAATTTGTTACCCGCATATCCGAACCAACCCAATAACAATCAACATAATTAATTTATATAATAATTTATTAATTTTAATTGATTTATTACTTATTTATTTGAATGAAGAGACTAATCGATATAGCAATTACCAAGTACAAACCATAATGAAAGTAACAAAAAGGCATAGTCTCTGGACATTTCCAATGAAAAATAGAACAACATCTTTTAAATTATCACAAGCATATCAATCAATGATGAAATATAGAGAAACCAAACATCACAACCATTATAAATCAAACTCACAAATTGCAAACTACAAGTATCTGAAAACCACAACCTTCTTCCCAAATCGCAAAACCTCAAATCACAAGTATCTACAAACTGCAAACTTTTAATTTTATGCTATGGAATGGAGTATGAGTATGCAATAAACTGTTTTAAGTTATTGAATATTTAAGTAAAATACAACAACCTTATGACTATGGTGGTCATAACTTGTATAAAAATATGTGTGTCATGTGTACAATATTTGTTTTTCATATTTTAGCGTGTAAACAAATGATTTTTAAAATATATTTTTGTATATTCACATTTAATATATCCGATAAATCCAATGCAAACCAATCCATTATTTTTCAGATTGGTTTGGTTTGGATATCGAATCCAAACCAATTCAATCCAAACCAATTCAATTATTTTTCATTGGTTCGGATATCGAATTCTCTCGAAAGCGAATCAAACTGGCCCGTGAACACCCGTAACATGACCTATAATATTTGGTCACGTCCATGTCAAGCTTCCTTCAACATCATTGGATCAAGAAAGGTACAAGTTTAAAGCATGATTTCAAAGATGATTCAAGTATCGTCATGTGTTTATTTCCATGCCATCTCCATCCAATTCTTAAGCAAGCATAAAAAATATTCAAAGGGATAATCGAGTTTCTTTCATCACGAGATACTAGAGGATGAACAGACTATATTAGGTCATGCTTATGATGTTTTGCTTAGTTGTCGCCGTATTGTGAAGATTGCGTAGGCAGGTACTGATAGATGTATCTTTTTTTATAGTTCTGAGGTGAAGGAGGTCCTAGATGACATTATAACAAAGGCACGAGAGACACTGATGCACTAGAGACAACGTCGGAGGATGGAGTGCCGAGGAGCCTGAGAAGCTCGAGTCCAGCATACACACTAGTTCATAATATTTGTAATTTGGATTTATGTTCAGTTGTATTTTATTTTTACTTATTTCGACTTTATTGTATATGTCCGATGACTTATTTTGACTCTGAATTTATATATGTCATTTTTGCATATCGATTATATAGTTTAATGCTCATCACATAACAATGACCTTAATATTTATAAATTGTCATTCTCATTATAGTAACTATAAAACTAACTTAACTTGTATTGTTTTTACTAGTTACAAAGATGTATCTCCATAAACCTTAAAGGAAGATGCATTTTCAAATTAACAATATTTAAAACGGGTCTTTAAAAAAGATACATGTTCAAATCAATTATAATGTTTTAAGAAAAGAGTAGGTGCAAAGATACATCTTTTAAATTCGAAAAGTATTTTAGATTTTTCATAAATTGTTTTTCAACTTGTGGGAAAAGTAATCCCCTTCTCACAAAAGTGGGAAAACTCCAAACCCACGGGCCCATAACAATCGAGTCCACTTGAGTTTCAGGCAGGTGTATCAGTGAAGGAAGAAGACGACCAAGACGACTTTCATGGTGGCCGTACTCTCAACCTACAGATATCAACAACTGTCCTCCCTCCTCAAAATCGAACTCTAAAATCAAAGATGCTCCGAATATGGATACGTGGAAGAACATCAGAGACAGAGAATCCGGAAAATCGCGTCCACATTCCTTCGCTAATCGCATAAAATCCAATCGCATTTCTCAACTCGAGTTATCAAATCACAAAGAACTCATTTCCCCTCACAAAGGCGCAATCAATTCCCTTCAGGTACACTACTCTCATTTCTCACATTCTTTATGATTCTTCAAACTGTTTCTTAATCTGGCTGTTAATAATTCAGATTGATTTGACAGAGGGAAGATATCTGTTATCTTCTGCATCTGATGCATCTGTCGCGGTTTACGACGTTCAACGGCCGAGTGAATGCGACGGTTTGATCTCGAAACACAGTTGTTTATTTGTTGTTGATAAGCAACATGAATTAGCTCATAAATTTGCGGTATCTTCAGCTATATGGTATCCAATTGATACTGGATTATTCATTACTGGTTCTTATGATCATCATGTTAATGTTTGGGACACTAACACCACTCAGGTCCTCTTTAACCTAATTGTAATCATAATTTCATGATTATTATACATTCCACACTCAAATTTAACCTAATTGTGTTGTAGGTTGTGGTAAATTTTAAAATGCCTGGTAAGGTGTATAAGACTGCAATGTCCACGTTGTCTACGTCTCACATGCTTATTGCAGTTGGAACTGAGGATGTACAAGTTCGTCTTTGTGATATTGCTTCTGGGGCATTTGCTCATACTTTGTCTGGGCATCGAGGTATATCGGTGTTGTCATTTCAACTTCCAACTAACTGTTTTCTGAATTTCTGTTCTATTTGACAGTAGTCATTATTTATGCTATGTGTTTGTTACAACAATTGTCAGACAATTTATTTCACAATCTTATAATAGTAAAGATCCTGTCTAAGACGGTGCGGATAAGGAAAAATATAGTGGGAATTAGATGTATGAAAATGTGCCTTATTAGTGGAGAACTTTTCTTTTCTTACAGTAACTTGATAGTAGTGGCGGTTATATACTGCAGTCCTTTAAGTTATATGTTTGTAATAAGTTAGACCTTTAAGTTATTTTTGTACCATATTGGTACTTCAAGTCATAAAAGTGTGCGCCATTATCTTTTTATCAGTTTTCCATCCAGCTCTGTTAGTGTTCTTCAAACTCATTCATGTTTATCAGTTTTGGGGTTTCAAATCCAGAAATTGCTTAGGTGAAAATGAGTTTTTTTTGGCAATCGTAGTTCATAAAAATCTTGTCTATTTTTTTTCTGGATATTTGGGTATATGCATTAAACCCATAAATTGACACCCAAAAGATGAAATGAGTTTTGGGTTTTGGTTCCTGCATCCATATTGATTCTTATTGATTCCAGCAACTACAACTACAACCTAAAAGATGAAATGGGTTTTGGTTCTTGCATCTTATTGGTTCTTGCCGCTTTGTTTTGGGTTTGGATTCTTGCTTCGTTATTGATCCTTATTGATTCTTGCATCTTTGTTTTGGGTAACAGTGTACATGTTTTATGACTTAAACGATCAATCTGATACAAAAAAACTTAAAAGACTAATTTGTTGCAAACAGGTAAAAGACCACAGAATGTATTTTGACTATAGTATATTATGCAAGTTATAATATAAAATTTACACTATGGTTTAAGGTTTGAGCCCTGTTCTCCTTTATTTTTCCTTGTGCAAGGATAACAAATAAGACATCAAAATATAAGAATTGAACCCCCTTACTTCTGGTGAAATCAAAGGGGCTATGCCACTGTTTTATTATATTTATGTATATTTTGGTCCCTCATAAAATATCTCAACTTCTGCCACTGGTAGATAAATATATTAATTATAACATACTGGGAACTGAGGTGTCTGTGTGTGCAATTGTTCCTATCACATGATGTGATATATATTATTAAAAAGAGGCTTTTGCGTCGCATGGTTTCTGTGATGTCAGATGGTGTAATGACTGTTGAATGGTCTGCCTCAAGTGAATGGGTCTTGATTACTGGGGGTTGTGATGGTGCCATACGTTTTTGGGACATAAGGCGTGCTGGTTGTTTCCAAGTCTTAAATCAATCTCGGACACAGCTTGGAAGACGCCCACCTATACTCAGACGTTCGGCCACAACTAAGGTTTTTTTAAAACTTTAGCTTATTCCTTATTTATAATTTGTGAGATCTAATAATTGATTATTGCAAGTCATTGTTATTTTGTTATGTAGCTGAAATTTCAATGCATGTATTTATGCTTGTCATAATCCCGGAGCCTTATTACTCACAGGAATCAAGTACAAAAATGCGTGCTGCACAGAAGAAATTTGTCAATGGCAGTGGCAGTGGACAACTGTCAACTGGCAGGCTATCATCTAAGGGACCCATGAAGCAGAAATTACATCCAGGAATGATTTCTACTCAGGATCGTGCAACTGCTCACTATGGTGCTGTGACAGGATTGAAAGTAACAGAGGATGGCATGTATCTCTTAAGTGCAGGTTGTTTATTTATTATTTATACTGTATTATTCAATAGACCCATGCTAGTAAGAACAGGGTCTTATACAAGGCTAAGGAAATTTAAAGAACATTTTGTTTTGAAATATGCAAACATAATAAAAATTAGACATTGCAAGTCATACCCAAAAATATGAAGCTAGATATTACAACTTTACAAGTTCTTAAAAACTTGTTTTTCTTTTATTTTTTCCTGAAAAATGAGACATATATTTATCTTTCAAACCTTGTGTTCTTTGAGAGGAGCTGTTTGTTGTGCGCGTATAAAACACCAAGTGTCGTTCGTTGTAAATGATTTGCCTTGAAATGTACATGTGTAGTTTAACTTTAGATGATACATAAAACTTAAGAAAAAGGTGCAAATAATTTAATATTCATTGAGCAATTGTTGCCTGAAATAGATAGACACCAGTGAATCTTTGTTGGCCTATTTATATAAGCTCTTGGAGCCAGTGCTCTATAATACATGAATTAAGTACACAATTATCCTGTTTTTTCATTGTTGATTGTTAACAATCATCGTTAGACCATTATAAAACATTAACATACACACTTTTCTTATACTGAACATACACATGACAGATTGCCTTAAAATATTTTTTCAAGGAAATACTTTATCTACCTTCTGTCAGTCTGCAATGCATTCACATTTGCTATAGGTAATCAAAGGGATGCCTTTGGGCTTATCTAATATTTAATGGTTCTTGATGATTTCCCACTGGTGTATAATGAATATTCTAACACCAATAAATACTCAGAACAAATCACAAGACCTAAACATGGTCTTGGACAGATTCCTTTTCCTCTGTATAACTTGTTTGTTTGTACACTGAAAATTGAAAACTCTTCTCTAAAAGTCATAACCAGAAGTTTTGTACATTGAAAACATTAACCTGGAAACCATATAGTGATTAGTCAATTAATTTACCTTCAAATGATAATACAATTGAGGTTCTGAAAAGTGAGGCTTTGTTTTTGAAAACTAATATTATCAATATTATGTAGAAGAGAAGAAATACATCAGGATGAGGTAAAGATGTGTTGTGTGTATGTGTGTGAGAGAGAGAGTACACAGCAGAGACTGAGAAGTTGTACCTTGAGAGTGGCATACAAATGAGAAATGTCAACAAACATATGTACAGCAGCAACTTTGCTCTCAAAAGAATTGGCTAAGGCACATAATTCCCTTAAATAAATATATATTCTCCTATATAAATAACACTAAACCTGTATTTAACAAAAGCTTGGGCATCACATATGGAAAAATATATTATCACCCAATTAATTTATGAGGAAGGGAAGGATTGAAGAGAGAAGTCCGCAAAATAAACATGATAGTAGAAGACAACTCATTGGTAATGTCTTTCGTTAACTGTAAAGTAATATTTTTGACTGTGCTGCAACAGAGAGAAGATAAGTACCTCTAACAGTAGTAAATGTTTTGCTGCATAAATCTCATTGGGAATGTTTATGACCAAAACAACAATTAGGAGTCACACAAGAGACAGCAAGATTTAACTGATACCCATGACAAAAATGGTAAGAGCAGTTTGGAAGAAATATTTCTAATTAAAAATTAGATGATACTATCAAATAATGTAGCTAGAATTATAATTCTATATCTTAATGCTATATAAGAATTAATTTTTAATGTGATTCTAATTTTAAGCAACTGAATGAGAATGCTAATTTGAAAGAGATGATATACAGAACTATATATTTTGGAATTATAAGTGTCTATGCAATGCTATTTGAATCAGTTGTTACCTAATTTCTTATATTTACATTGATGTACTGTTTGTTCACAGGGTCTGATTCAAGATTGAGGTTGTGGGATGTTGAGTCAGGCTGCGACACTCTTGTGAACTTTGAAACAGTCCGCTTGCAAACAAGCAAACCTATTCAATTAGCTACAACTCAAGACTCTACCGTTGTTTTTGTTCCATGCATGAGAGTTGTGAAAGTATGTTGTTCATTTAATTTAATGCCTATTTCAACTTTAAAATTAGACGTACAAATACAACTAGGAATACTCTTTTTGATGCATCAAAAGAGGCAATCAATTATAAAGAAGTGATCATGGGTACTCAAACCCAATAACAACAACACAACAAAATGAACAAAATATACAACAAAAGAAATTAAACCCGAATACAATGAGGAATACTGATTTCACTTTTGCATTATTCAGGCATTTGATATGTGGTCTGGGAACGCAAACACGATACTACGTGGACACTATGAGTCTGTAAACTCCTGCTGGTTTAATCAACATGATCAGGTATTTTCAACAGTTGGTTGTTCATTTTTTTTAATCCTAATCCATAATAAGTTGTCCATTTAAGCGGTGAAATTTGTTTGGTTGTTTGGTCCAGCATGTCCATTTTACAGTTAAGAATAATTTTCTATGGCTATGAATTAGATGAATGGAAGCAGAACTCAGAAGACATGTCTTTTTTCGGTTGAAGTTAACTGAGTTCATTATATGGTATCATGTCTCCACACACATGTACATACTTCTAATAGTCTATCATCAACTCATACAACCTTATGGATGGCCTTACTTCTTTTTTTCCATTTCCATTTTATCCTCCTATTCTAATTTCATTGTTTAATCCAAAAGGAAATGAAAAGAGACCCAGACGCAAGGTCATTGCAAATTGTGCGTGTAATTGTCGGTCCTTTTTCTTCTTTGGTGTACTAGTATCATCACAAAGAAAAGAGACTTGAATGAGGATTTTCTAAAATACGGCCATTCTATATTCATGTTTAAATATGAAACTAAATTAGAAGAAATATGAAAAAGAGGAAAGTTATATGACTAAAATCAACTTGAACCTACCACCACAACAACAACCGACTGATTTTATTATGATTTCTGGAAATTTGGCCTATTAATTTGTTTTTATTTAGGATTATTTGGTTCTTGGAATAAGATACATTTGGTAGTTATGTTACAATATTTCCATCTTAATTAGTTCCTGTTTGTGATTCTATTTTAATAGAAGTAGTATTCCTTGTACTTCTTATACAACATCTCTGTTCTTTGGCATTCTACAGAAATCATTCATTATTTTCCAAAGTATGAGTTTACCATCTCTATTCTCTGGCATTCTACACAAATCATTCATGGTTAATGTTCCTTCTTCCAAAGTCATTGCTTGTCTTGCTAGTCGATACTTTTGGCAAAAAAAATGAATCAACCATAAAAAGAAAATGTTTAAATGTATTGCAACTCATTTATTACAAGCCATAAAACAGCAGGGGCCCTAATATGGATCACAATTTACTCTAATATAAATATGCTATAGATTGTGTTGGATTGAAAAATGGTTGATATATGTAATACATGCTTGCAGAATTCAGACTCCAAGTACTTCATAACGGTTTTTGTTATTGTCACAGGAGTTGTACACAGGTGGAAATGATAGACAAATTCTTGTATGGTCACCTGCTAGGTTAATTGCAGATGAAATGGTAGTCTTTGAATCAGTTTATTTTTTAAACTTTTATATATAAATGGTGAGAGCACCTTTTAACATGTCATTGTCTGACTATGTGATAAACTGTAGAACGAAGGAGATCCCGACGATCAGGATAACTGGAGTAACTGAGTTTTGCCTTCCATTCGTGTCACATATTTTCCCTGTTCATGAACGGTCTTCAATTTGTAATTTGCATGTTTGTGGGATTTGTAAATAAAGGTTTGCTCTGGTTTTTGAGCATATGTGAAATGCTGAGAAGGACAAGCCTCCAACATTGTATAATAGTAGCCTACTACTTTTGTAGATAGATTTCCCTCTTTCTTTTGTCTTGTAAACTATGCCAGTGTATATATCAACACATTTATATATTGTTAGTTTGAATTTGGAATTGGATGAGTTTTTAGACTTAAAATGTATACTCATTATTAGACATTTATATATAGAGATTTCCCCCTTTCTTTCTTGCACTTTTAATTAGAATTGCCCTTCATCTTTTTGTTTGGGAATGGTAATCTAGCACTGTTATAGGAGTGTGAATATGAATAATTGATCATAAAAGTTAACACCAATTCAAACTATGATGATTCTATAACAGAGTCATAGGAGTATCACATGAAAGGATATATAGGTTTATTAAGTGATTTAAGGCACATGATAGTATTCTTAAAATTAAAAAAAGTATGATTAATAAACTGACACTTGTCTTTATCCATTGTCCTAGCAAATCTAAATGATTTTGTCCAAGTGTCTATAACAACCTCAGATGAATGCAAAAAACCAACTCCTATGAAAGTCAGTTGTTCCTCAAGCTTACCCATCAACAATCCACACATTCATTGTTTTCGATATTGTTCTTTGGTAGCCAAAACAAAAAAACAGTATATTCAACCTTTTGACCATAAAATTTTCATTATTTGATTTCTTATTGATTATTATATATTAATCAAAAACTATTTGATTTGTTTAGACTATAAATGCACAGATTTGTTATTAAGTGTGAATTGATATTTTGCATCAAAATATGCAATTTTCATTAATCAGCATTTGAGTTAAAAACTTCCACTTGCACGCATCTGATTAAACTAATTAGTAAATTATATTTAAATATATAGCATATATAATTCATAATTATATAACACAAATATATCATTTCACTAAAAAAACAAATAACAGTTAGAGTTAACAACTCGCACTCATCTCATTCAACTAACTAATAACAGTTGAATTAACCCATCAATTATGTTGTGAGTATATAGTATGTTATAAATAAAATTAATTTTATTATCAAAAGTATCAAAAGTTGAATTGTCGCAATTGTTTTTAAATTTCTTAGAGAGATTGCTGCATATTCTGATCAGTATCTAGTTTATAAAACAAAAATTATTGTACTTTGACATGTAAGATGAATTGGTATGAGTTTTCGCTTTGATCATTTTAGTCGAACTTGCTTACAAAGTATGGCAGACAAACTCTATAATTTGACTTTGTTCTCTATGATTTCGTTTTGTTTAACTAAAATGGCATCAAGAAATCCAGTTCAAGTGAATAACTTCAACACAGATATTTGATCTAGTATTGTTGGTGGTGATGCTGGGTACCTTTCATGATTGGTAATCACAATCACTTTTCAAAAAGGAAAATAAGCATCTAAATTGATGACACATAACTCTGCATATCCTTGACATTATGACTGATGATAATCAAAACACGAATATGATTATCTTAAAAATTGAAAACAAATTAAATATAATTATATCAGTTAAAACTTACTCAAAATGAGTTATACAATCAAAAACAACACAATACAAGATCATATTCGTCTATTAAGTGATTTAAGACACATGATAGTATTCTTAAATTCTAAAAGAGTATGATTAACAAATTGATATTTGTCATTAGCAGTCATTATCGCAAACCCAAACGATTTCGTCCATGTGTTTATAGTACTTTTAGAGGAATGCAAAACCAAGCTCCTTATTTCTAAGTCAATCAAGTGTTTCTCAAGCTCATCCATCAACAACCCACACATTCCTTGTCTTCGATATTGTTCTTTGGTAGCCACAAAAACTATTTCCGCAACTTTTGGACCATAAATTCTTATATTTGCCACCGAAATCACTTCACCCATTTTCTCTAAAATCACATTATAGAAACCACGGAAATTACAACGATTATATTCTGAGTATCGACTAAAAACAACATCTTCAATCAATTCTCTTTTGGTTATAACATCAACAATCCGGTCAAAACTCTCGTGCAATACACCAAGAATCGAATTCAACTTACTCTCATTTTGACTTAACTCATCCGAACTAAAATCTCCATCATCATCGCCACTACTACTCACATTCTTAAACAATGTCCAAGTTAGATTATTTGCAAGCTTGATTGGTTTACCTATCATACTTTTTAGACATAAAAACATTTTCCCGCAAACTACGCTACAAAACCAATTCTTCTTTTTACCATTGCTCTCCACATCACCAAACCCTATAGACTTTAAGCATCCGAAGTGAAACTCTTGCTCACATTGAGCACAAATAATAACAATGTCATTACCCTTTTGATCTTCACATTCTTGTTTGCATTTGGGTTGATGACATATTTTGCAACAACAAGTTGGACAAAACCAATCACCATCCGGAACTCGATCAAGACCTAAACAACCTAGGTGAAACGAAGAAGGACATCGATCACATAGTATAATGTCACCTCCTAAACCACAAACCAAACATACAACATCATTATATCTTTCCATCTTTTCTTCGCCAACAACATGACTCCCCTTTTCACCACGCGAACTCAGAGCTTCCCTTTGACATTCCAACAACGACCTCCCGTCTTCCAACAAAATACTAGTAGATGGTCTATGTCTTGTACAACAAGCATGCGCCTCAAATGCAGTCATAGTAAAATTATCACGACAACAATCACAAACTATACCATCACGAAATATATTCCCTTTTTTGACGATATCTTTACCACCGCGACATAACACACTAGTCCCCGAAGCCAAAACTCGATTCTCTATCAACCAATAAAGAAGTGAACACCTTTTCCTATCAGAAACCTCTGACTTCTTCTGCATTGTACTCATCTTTAATACCTTTCCTATTTTACCACTATGCATAGAATTAGTAACTTCCGATTCACATTGATTCGAACACTTCTCATTTTCCTTTGAAGTTGGAGTTACAGTGTCACTAACTTCAGATTCATCATCAGAACTCGAACTCGAACTTGATTGATCGGATTCTTTAGAATCTCTCAGTCGCTTCTTTGACTTCACCAGAGACTTCACCGGAGACTTGATGGAACAACTTCCATCTTTAATACAACTTTCACACGCATTCTTAAGAGTGGTATAATGTTTTCCATTCGTAGGAGAAGTATAACGCATTTCCCATCTACATTTTTTGTCGATATACCAAAGGTTCCAGCCCAAGAAAACAAGATGTTGTTTTGCTTTCAAACTCAAATCCTTTCTACCACTAATTTTTTCTCGATCTTTTGTTAAATTATACCATTCAATCACAGCTTCCGGACAATACTCAGCTTCGATATTGATATCGGGAGCTTCTGATCGTGAAGCCATATATCAATCTGCACGTAAAAAAGTTTAACATAATTCAACAAGAAATTTGAGTAGAAACTTTTATTGTTAAGAATCAAGAAGCAAGAAATTGTAAAACTTATTTTCACTAGTCATTGTTATAATTTTTTTTTACGCAAATATCATTATATCACTACTAGAAGATAGAACATTCAAAATACGAGCAATAAAAACAGAGAAATTAAAAAAAGAGAGTATTGTGAAATAATGGTGGAAGATGATGCTAACCTTTGAACGTTGAAGAGAAGAGAAAAAGAAGAAAGGTACAAAGAAACTTTCAAACTGAGAGAAGACGGTTTAAAATAAGAATTGTTTTGAGTTTTTATAGGTTACAGTGCATAGTGGATAATTCCGAGGCCCAATATTCATTTAATTTTCTTTTGCAACATTTGATTTGCTCTTTAAAAGTCACGATATATATTATTTAACAAGATTTTTTTTATAGAATATATTTTGAATTATACAGCAAAATATTGATATTTTGATATTATATAAATTTAAATATGCAAATGGCCTTCATAAATGAGAGTTTATTTTGACTTTAGTTCTAATTTTTTTTCTTCTATTTTTTAGTTTGACTCTACAATTTTAAAACTTTTTTTTTCTATAAGTAGTTGAAATTTGGTGAATTTGGATTCATATGCCTCAATCTAGGTTTAAATTAGACTTGCCGAGACAATTTTAATTTTTTTTAAAGATGTCATTTATTTGTTGGGAATATAATCAAACTAAATCTCAATTAACTGATATAAATAAAATAAATTTATAGTAAAAAATTTATTATTAATTTGTAATTTTTTGATGGAAAAATTGTAACCTTCTCATAACTATTTCTGAAGGGAAAAATAGAAAATCCTGTCAACAATTATTTTTGGACAAAAAAATAGAAAAAAAATTATAAACCTCTCTAGACACACAACTATCCAAATTCTCAATACGCCCAAAAGACTAGAATTGTTGTGGTAAATAAAATCAAACTAATTATATTTATAATAATTTTTTACTCCCTTTTTTTTCACATTACTCGATGTGGGACTTGGATGAGTATCCACTTTAACACAACGTATCCTTCCTTCATTCAAAGTCTCACATCTTTTCACTTCATAGTCACCTTCATCCTCACAAGCTGTTGGACTTTCAACTAGGGAGCATTGAACATAGTGGGACTTTTTCTAGAGCAACCTTTGTGAGAGACACACCACATACTCACCCAAAACCTTAAGGTGATAGGTGTGTGGGTTCTCTTATTTATAAATGCTCAAGTCACTCACAATGCTCTCCCTTAAGCTGAAACTTCACTTTCGATACAAGTACTTCGTTCCCTTTATTCGAACCAAAGGCTCACCTTCATCCTCACAAGCTAAATGATCGTCTGCATAACTAACCACATTTACAGAAGGAGCGCTTTTCAATTCTTTTGTCTTCTTCTTTATGCTTCGCACATCCTTTATAAATTCTAGACATCTAGATTGCACGTGACCAAATTGTTGACAATAATGACACTTGACAAAACTCATATCTCTTGGTTGAAAATTTCTACCATATTGATCACCATAGTTCTTTTTGTGTCCCTTTGGCTACCAGTACCTGATTTTCTTCGGGAGATTGATCAATACCCGTCATTTGTTGACTCTCCTTCAATGATTTCACTACTTCATCTAATTGTAGTGTGCTCTTCCCTGTTAACATTGACTACACTAATGATTTGTAAGATTTAGGTGGTGAAGCCAACAAAAGTAGCGTTTGCTCTTCATCTTTGATATATTCCCCTACGTTCATAATTCTAGATACCAACTCATTAAATTTATTAATATGATCAAATACACTACCTTCATATTCCATCTTCAATGAGTATAAATTCATTTTCATCATTAATCGATTGGTTAATGTAGTTGATGCAAACTTGCTTTCTAACAAATCCCACAATTTCTTTGGGGAGGCTTCTTTCAACACAGTCACTTTAATTTGCGGAGCAAGTGCCAACAGAATTGTACTCACTGCCTTTTTTTGTATTGAATTCCAATCCGAATCTTTCATCTCACTTGGTTTTTCCTTTTCGAAAGCATAATCAAGACCTTTTCCAAATAGTCTTGTATCGTGCATTGCCATAAGGGGAATCCATTCTCCCATCAAACAAAGAAATACCCAACTTCAATGTAGCCATAATATTGTTTAAGAAAATAAAACTAAAATCAAATAAGATGATAGCAAACCTGTGATTTCCTCCCTTGATCAGAACCTTTGCTCTGATGCCAATTGTTGGGAATATAACCAGAGTAAATCTCAATTAACTGATACAAAAAAAAAAAAATAAACTCACAATCAAAATTTCATTACTAACTTGTAATTTTTGAACATAAAAATTGCAAACCCTCTCAACAACTATTTTTTAACGGAAAAATAGAAAACCCTCTTAACTACTATTTAAGCCATTAATCGTGCTCGATGGGGAGCTTCGTCTTTGGTCGACGACAGGGTTGGTCAAGCGTGTACCCTGACGGGAGGTGCTTGTCACACACTTAGATGGTTTGCTTCCATCTCCCCTTGAGGAGGTGTTCTTGGAAGCGCAGGGGTCGGGTATTACACTCGACGTTTTGGATTGTACGAAGGAAGCGAAAAAGACTGACACGTCATTCCCTCGAGCCGCGCGAGGGGGCTTGAAGGGGCATGCATGATGTCATACTGTGCCATGTGTCAGAAGTAATTAAAGCCTATGACGGCTACGAGTAGGGGTGCTTGAGTGCCTATGAGACACTTCAGTTCTCGTGCTAGGGCTTATAAATAAAGGGGAGGGCCAGTTCATTTGCACCCTCCCCTCATTCTAGCTCAAGAATATCAAGATCTTCTTTGCTCTTCACTCGCTAGTTCGCCGCCGTCGACGCAACCAACATTTTGCTTCTCCGTCCAACTCCATAATCCTTGCACAAGTAAGTCTTCCGTCCTTTCCCAAAGTTTATGCTTTTTCCGGCAAGTTATGCATTTTTCGGTGATTTTTTTAGTTCCCGGTGACTTTTCCGGGGAGCCTATGAAGTTCCGGGCGAACTCGTGAAGTTTCTGGCAAACTTCATGAAGTTTCCTGCGAACTTCATGAAATTTCTAGAAAACTCATAAAGTTTCTTATGGAAATATGAAGTTTCCGATGAAGACGTCGGGGAGTTCATGAGGATTCTGGGAAGCTGCATGAAGTTTCCGATGAAGGCTGCTTTAAAACACCTTCTGTCCGCTTCAATGTCTCTGTGGACGTTGACGACTCGACCCCTGGTCGTGTAGCACTTCATATTTAGGTGCACGGTGGAAGGCACCACATTCTTCTCGGCCAGGGTCGGCCTTTCCAAAATGCATTGGTACAGAGAGGGGGCACTTTATCACTAAGAAGCGGGCCTTGATCTGCCTTGCAATCTCTTCGGATCCAAAAGTGACGAGCAACTCCACGTATCCCCATAACCTTGTGGTGGTATTGTTGAAGCCCTGCAAGTCGGAGCCGACATAGGACATCAGATGGCTCTCGTCAAGCTGGAGGGTGGTGAACAGGTGGGCGACATTATGTCGACCGAGCTCCCTTAGTCGATGATAATGCATCAAACGTTGAAGTTCGCCATCTAGGCCCTGATCAGTAGAGGGATACTGGAATTAGGGGCGCCACCCGATAGCTCCTCGAGTTAGAAGGTGATCGGGTTTGAGTTACCCTTGAACCTATCGAGGGCATAATTCTGATTTGAGCTCTTGTCAATTAGCTCATCAAACTTCCTCTTGACCGACCCTACTAAGAACTTGCTGGGACCCCCGCCGGATATGACCATCGTGGCTGGGAATTCCTCCCAAGGGCTACAAGCAGACAAAGGCATGCCGGCCTCGTAGGGAAGGTAGAAGTCCTCCGCCCGGGAGACGCATAGAGCGACCTACAGCCTGGCCTCGTCGGTGGGTGGCGTCGCTTCCTCAACCTTCTTCGCCTCACAGGTATCTTGTCGAGGAGCCTCGTTCCTCCTAGTGTATTGCTTAAGGTTCCCTTCCTTGATCAAGACTTTGATGGAATCCTTTAGATGGATGCAATATTCTGTGACGTGTTTGTGACTCCTATAGAAACGACAGTACTTAGACTTGTCGATGTTGGGTTTGAGGGGCGTCAAATTCAGAAAGCGCACTCCACCTCTTTTGAACTCCGAGTTAATGCACTCAGCCAAGATGCGCTCGCGAGGAATAGTGAGTAGTGTATACTCAATGAAACAGCCCGCTGGTCCCCGGTGTTCTTTTCTTTTGTCTCTGCCACATTGGGGAGCAACAAATTCTTCGGGCTTGGAGACTTTGGTACTTTCCTGGTTCCACGAGTCGCGGGCACTGTTTGCGACCTCCTTCTCCTCATATTAGATGTAGGACCAGACCTTATGAATGAGCTCTTCTAGTGTGTTGGGCCTTTTGATACCAACCACCTTGGGGAAGTCGCTGCGGGGTCGCAACCCTCACTCGATCAGGAATCTCTTCATCTTGTCTATTGTGGACACCTGGACGGCTTCTCGATTGAATCTCTCTATGTAGTCTCAGAGAGATTCATCCTTCCCTTGAATGATAGCCTCCATGGATTCCTTCTTCTTTGGATGTCGCCTAGAGGCAGTGAAGTGTCTGGAGAACTGTCTCTTCAGCTCTTTCCAGGAAGTGATGGATTCAGGCTCGAGGCTCTTGTACCACGTCATCGCGCCCTTTCTCAGGGTCGTCGGGAAAAGCCGACATTTTATGGCTCCCCAGACGTCACGTTAGTCGAGCACTGCATCGATACTCTCAATATGGTCGTCCGGGTTAGTTGTACCATCGCAGGTCGTCAGATTCGGCGATTTCTCCATCCTGATGGGGAGGCGAGTCTCCATGATGGCCCTGGACAGTAGAGTACGGAGGACTTCCTCGTCGCTTCTGATGGGTGATTGTGAGAGGGAAAGGTCGTATTGAGGGCTTCTTCTGCGGTGTAAAGGACTCCCCAGTCGAGTCTTCGG